CAGCCAGTTTCAGATGTCAAAATAAATTACAACTAATGTCGTCTAACTGTGAGCCGCAGGAACTAAGTTTACCACCTAATAATTAGTGACATATATAAATTAACTATGAAAAGTACATATCTTGATACTTTTTCTGCTTACAAAATATTTCACTTCCATTTTTTCTCAATTTGACAAGATAATATCAGTCGCCTTAGGTTAGAGAATATCCACATAAATTCATTAAACCGACATCTAGCATTGATTGTCAACTTCTAAGATGTCGGCGACATCGGATTGTTCGAATTGTCGCCGTAAGTGGCACGCTTGTAATTCTGATATTTAAGCATTCTCACTATGACTTTTAATTTTATTCGAAATTTATAATTAATAATATGTAAAATTTAGTGTCCCGAACACATGTTTAGAATAAATATGGACTCGTATTAAGGAAAATGGGTGCGATGGTCACAAATTGGGAGACGGTCAATAATTGGGACGTTCACATTCGCTCGCGTCTTGCCACGAGTACCTCTTTTTTATTCTTCCTTCAGTTGTTTATAAAATAAATTTATGTTTGTCGAAATGTGTCAGAATTCGTTTCGGCAACTAGTTTCAGGTTTTGTGTACGTATCAGAGCGACATAAAGTTATTTCAACTCTCCCGATGTATATGAATTTACTCGTACAAATAAAAAAAAATACTTCGTACGTGAGTTTTAATATTTTTTACATATGCAACAGGACCGAGAACGAATTGAAATATAAACGAGAGGAACATCAAAAATATATGTACTGTGTTAGTGTCGTTTTGAACTGGTATTTCGCGAGTATTACACGCATCATTTGGCCGTGTGCTTTAGTTGAAAAATAGGTGTTCTCTGTGTATTTTTCCGTGATTTCAGAGAGAGAAAGAGAGAGCTTGAAGTTAGCTGAGAAAGACTATAATATTTTACCATAAAAAGGGTCGGTGTGTTTAAGCGACATCTTCGAACTAACTACTCCTTCGTATAAATCGCCTTTTTTCCCTTTTCGCGCGCGACAGTTAAATAAGTTAAACATAATTACATTAGTCTCCTCGGTCTAGACTGTATTATTCAGCGCGGCGCGAGGTCTTCTGGATTGCCTCGAGAATTACTTACAAAGCTGACTTCGAACTGTTTCTCAGACACACCCCTCCCCATCCTCACCTCTCTTATCACGATCGAAAATCCCCTTTGAGGAGACAAGTGCTACGACCGATGTTTGTATCAAACGTGACGGGGATGTTTCTTACTTTGTGCGGACTTGGAACGCCTCGGTTCGTTTGAAGGGGATCGTCGAGTTATCGTGAGTTCTTCAGCTCATCCTAGCCTTGTTAGTTTTCACGCAACGTCACCCGCCCGAAGTGATTAAAGCGCCTTCGCCTCTCTTACAAAAACATACTCTCTCCTACCAAAGAAAGGGAAACACGAGTCTCGTCCACCGTGCCGTTGCGCTCCTCGCATTGTCCTGTGACCCTCTATTCGTCATAGTTACGTTTAACAATTAGGTATTTAGCGAGCACAATGCGTTAAACCAGAAAGAGAGAGGCACGGAAGCGAACGAGGGACGAAGAGAGAAAGAGAGGAGGCACGGATGCGGGCGGAAATTCAAATAAGGGTGGAATGAATACGCGCGAACACGAATAATGGAAATGCCCTGTGCCGTGCGAGTCGGCATCGAATCATTAAACGTCGCACGAAGTTGCGCGACGTTTCAGCCACCATTCGGTATTTTCCGACGAGCACTCAGACGTATCTGCATTCTATCTTCGTCAGGCGATCCGTAACTTCCTCCATGTTGCCGGGGTGAGCTTCACTCACCCTCCCACTGCTTGATCCCGTGTGATTTCGGATCAGTTTCTCGCCTTTGATACTCATGGCATCGAGACAAATAGAGTGATGGAAGAGGAACAACAAAGATAAACAAGTAACAACGGACTATCACACCAAGCTAACATACTCGATCATCCCTTGAATAAGCTTTTGCAAGTTCACCGATTTACCCGGCTGGATGATCCCAGTGCAAGGAGAGAGGGAAGTGTGTGTATGTATGTACATGAGAGAGAGAAAGAGAGAGACAGGCAGAGAGAGAGAGAGAGAGAGAGAGAGGGAAAGAGAGAGAAAGAGAAAGAGTTTATCAATTTCTCCGGGCGAGAGTATCGCGATGAGTGGCTGGGCAGGAAAAATTGTCGGGTACACACAGTGGCTGTCATCCCTGGTCCCGGTTACGAGCAGGTGCGGGCGACGTAGCTGGTTGGACGAAGAGGAGGAGGCTCGCGGGATCGCGGTCTACGGAAGCGAGGAAGAGAGAGAAACATCTCTCCGGCAAAAGCGTAATCCGTGCGCGCCAAGCGCGTGCAAAGCGCCAGGCCACCCTTGCTCGGGCTTGCGGTGGGTGGCGGAACTACGAGGGTGGCGGCCGAGGAGCCACAGTTGGTTGCGGGCTGTCGCCCTGAGAGCAGCGCGCGTGCCTCCACGACCTTTGGCACGCGACCTCGTGGATCGCGTGATCGCATAATCGCGCCGCGGATCGAGCGGCGCGGCGCGGCTCGGCGCGCGAGATCGACCGAATGATCGTCGCGATCGCGCGATCGAGCCGAGCGGGGATGCAACGGCAGTCGTCGGTTCGTCGGGGTGTCGCGAATACGCGGCTGCGATGGAACGCGCGCGTCGTCGCCGTCGTCGTCCTCCTGTGAACGCTTTCTCGCTGAGCGACGTCCGTGTGACGTCGGCGGAGCGACCTTCCTCGCGCGCTTCCGTGTAGCTTCTGCACAGTTTCTCCGACATGGTGCTTCGATAAAAGCTGGGAAACTCGCTCGTCCCTGACGTTCGGCCCTTCGGCCGCATTTTCGCGAGTACGCTCCGCGATAATTGGCTGCTCCGTCACGGGTGAAATTGAATCGTGCGCGACTGTGTGCCGCCGCTGTGTTTAAATATCACGATTGGGAATAATTCATTGCCCGGACGATCCGCGCCAACGCCGGCCGTGCGGCTTTTCTCGCGCAAGTCTGAAACGAGAGAGGAGAGCTCGGAAAAGGTCATCCCGCGGATGACCCCGTAATCACGATAGTGGTGGCGGACGCATAGATTTGCGGGGTACCGCTCGGGAGGTTTTGAAACATTAAAAGCGGGGGTGAATCCGAGTGACATGGCAGCAGGACTCCCGCGAACGTCCACCGCGGTCGCGTTTCAGCCACGATGAGGTATGACGAGCGAAGCAAAGGACGAAAATAGTGCGAACGAGCTACAAAAGAGGACACCCAAGGAACCGAGCGCACCTGTGCGCTCACGTACTACCCGCTGGACCCGCGAGCGGGATCCCTTTGAGGCTGCGATAAAACGAAATCAACTTTTTTCTCTAATCCATCAGCAGACCCCACGCGCGCGCGTTTCTGCTAGACAGTTTTGTTTAACACGCGTAGGACAAACGGTTTGTTGTGCGTATTCTTTTTCTTCGGCGTGCTTGGCGTAACGTAAACGGACACAAAGAGAGAGGCCCGAAGGGGATGAAAGAGACTACTCGATGAAAAAGTCCTGTGAACTCACGCATGAGGACGGATCTCGTTGATAATTGCGAGGGCCGCGAACGACCAGCGGCAATTCGGTCCGCCGTGCGAAAGTATCCTCCCGAATTTCTTCCGCGGCACAGCGTACGCGGGTGATGCGTTCCGGTCTGCGATCCGACAGATTCATTGTCCCGGCCGGGAGTATCGAAGCTTCATAATCAACACTCACGACTGTCGCGCGGCACGTGGAGTACAACGCTCGCTCGATAGCGTCGCGCGTGAACGACACGACGTGGGCATGTCAAAGTTCGCGCGCCAAAGTAGTTGTAGGATCTCGGCGGTAATCTAGGTCGCAGTCCCCTCCCTCTCTTCTTATAGGGATACGTTGAGGAACGTTGTTAAGATAAACATTGTTTAACACAGCTTTGTGGCCACGTAGGCAGCCGAGTGTGTGTCTCACACCCGAAGCGGCTTCGGCGACGACGCTAAGAGGGATTAAGACGTCTATGAATACGAACCTCTGTACCGTGCACGCGGTGATTCAGATCCCACGCTGATCCTCTGTGATTTCGCATTAACTCCAAGAGCAATATACGAAGCAATCATACAGCGCATTAAGGAAGGTGACCACGGCGAATCATTTCGGTCCGTTTCCCCGGGACAGGATAATGGTCGAAGCGACGTTTCTGTTCGTGTTTTTGTCGTTGAATCGTCGCGGCATCATACCTCGTGCGAGCATAAGGAGCGACTACCTGAAGACTTTTCTTCTTTCTTCCGAATCAAGAAGAAAGGGGTTTCATCTCCTGATTTGACGTGGAGAAATCATTAAGATTAAGAGATCGATGAATATAACGAACATATGTAATCCCACATACACACGTACGAGTGATAATCATCGAACGGTCTGGAGGATAGATGACAATCAGTAGAAAATCTGTGAATGGCGCGAACTTCTTCAACTGGAGTAAAGACGTCTCGAGGCAGTTTGCGAGGATAATGTTCCGGAAGAAATGTTAGGTCTCGTCGCGAATACGCCATTGTCCGGAGCGTCCTAGAGAGGCAGAGAGAGAGAGACAAAGCCGCTTTGCCAACAACGCGAGGTGAGATTAAGAGCGACGGGAAAGGAACGGCAAATAGACGAAAAGAAGAGACCTCGCGCTTGCGATAACGAGCGACGTGAACGAACGACGAACAACAAGAAGAGAGAGACAGAGAGAGAGGAGAGAGAGAGAGAGAGAGAGAGAGAGAGAGAGAGAGAGAGAGAGAGAGAG